TAAGGATTTTGCATCGAAACTAACAATATATGAAAAGCATTATGATACCCCATTGGCTTTGAAGCTAATTTTAAAAATAACTTTTAAAAAGGAGTTAAAGGATACACAGTGGATGAACAATGCTGCTCCCATAAGATGGCATGAATTAGTTAATGAAAATCCTAGTGCCAGTTACCAGTTTCCTTCCTACAAGTTATTGATGAGGGAAGCCCTAGAGATACTAAAACAATACAGATTATTGCCAGTGCTCTTGGTTTCATACAGTAACTCATTGAAAGGCTTTCTTGGTGAAAATGCCACACTTCGATTTTATGACCTAGAAAAGTTAATCTTGAACTCACCAGGAAATTCTTTCCTGGCTGGCTAGCTGTGGAGTGTTGGAGGGCCCTATGCAGGCTGCTGAGAGAGGAAAGGCATTGACAGTCTTACCCAGTACTCGACCCTGCATGCTACAATATTGATATGCTAGGAAAGATGTTCTCCCTGGTGTAATAGTGGCAAGAGTGTTAATGGGGGTAACCAACTGCTCTCTTGACTGGATATTAGGCCACAGGAATGAATTCATACTGGGTACTTTAAAAATGGTCAAAATCCATGGCAAGGGGAGAACCTATTGGTGTTTTTTGCTAAAGGGTCATGTTGTCAAACTGCTTTTTAAAGATCTATGACTATATGTATAGATTTTTTTCTCTCACCTTTGATCAGAGAAGCTTCCTATTATAGTGGCTATTGCTCAATACACAGCCACTTAACTGTTCAAAGCACTGAGAAGAAGCCACTGTGAGTACTCAGCTGTAGATGGGACGTCTACATTATAACCTTCCCCAACAAGGCTCAGGGAGAAGAAAGAATGTACGTGCCAGAGGAGAGGAGGAATGCTGTAAAATCCTGACTTCTGTACATGATACATCTGCTGTACAGAAGATTTTGCAGCAGCTTTGTTTACGTGTACAAGACCTGGACAAGATCAAGTCAGCATGGAGGGGTTTTTCCTGAGGCTTCTAGTTGAGGAGTTATTGGAAATTGATGGCTTGTCTGGGAGGTACTGGTGGATTGCTTATGACATACTGAATGACCCTAAGCCCATACACATATGGGCAGCACTGATTGGACTTAGTGATCTTTTAAAAAAAGAGAACTTGAAGTTGGGAGATATGCTAGGAGTTGGAGAGAGGAAGTGGGGATGGATATGATTAAGCTACAGTGTATACAAGAATGGAATCTTCAAATAATAAAAATAATTTTCTCTCTAAAAGGAATAATGAAACATTGAAAAATAAGAAACAACTACGATTTGCAAATATTCTAAAGTCTTACGCTAATTTGTTTTTTATATTTTCACAATTACAAGTAGAATACAAATGTAATATAATTGAAATTTTATAGCAGTAATATAAATTATATTAAGCACAGAGATCTCTATGTAGCTACCTCTGGCTACAACTTTTACTTTGCACTCATGCATTTTAATATAAATTATGAGTAAAGGAAAATATAGTTCAGGTCCATCTAATTTTCCCAATTATGAATTCTTACAATTTGAATAATTTTGCCTTCCACTAAAATTCATGTCCAAATTAAACCTCCATTGCAACAGTGTTGAGAGGAGGGGCCTAATGAGAAATGTTAAGTCAGGAAGGCCCTGTCTTCATGAAGGAATGCCAATACAGAAAGGGATCATGGGAGTGGTTTTAAGTTGTCTTCTCCTCTGCATAAGGCAATGTGCAAGGATCACATCGTGGAGAGAAGACAAGTCTTTAGGAAACAAAGAATCACATCGCAACTGGATCTTGGTTTTCCTAGACTTCAGAACTTTAAACACATAAATTTCTCTTTTTTATGAATTTTCCAGTCTTGGATATTCTGTGTAGCCATACAAATGAACTAAGACATCAACTTATCTATTGCATTTACTTATTTTTCCTTCAGTAAGCATCAGTGATCCATCTAATGCATAGTACAAAAAAATGACAGAGGGCTGAATTATGTCTTGTCCACAATAAGCTTCCATCTAATATTTTTTATATATCTCTAGTCACTATCATGTTAAATGAGGAAGGAAGGCTAATTTAGCTTCAAGAAGAACATGCTTCCTGGATGAGATGGCTCCTGATGAATGCCTTAAGGCTCCCAATGAGTGCCTAGACTTTATAAATCAAGCAGAAGAAAACAGGAACTAAACACAAACTATGAGAACTCAATTCATAAACTTGGAAAATAAGCAGAAATTGACTGAAAATTGTATGCCGCTTGGTTTTGTTTAGTGTTGGTCAATCAGAGTGGCAAGCTTTGGGGAAGGAATCACAGTCAGACTTCATTGAGCAGAGACTTTGCAAGAATTTTGTCAGCAGAACTGGTCAGGACAGGGAGCAAGGAAAGCAATCAAGCACACAGACTCTTACCTAGGAGGCCTCACATCACTAAAGTGAAGTGAGGATGTAGAGGCTCCTTGAACATGAGTGGGGATATCTATATTATTATTAATCACATATTAAATTATGATTTCTTCAATTATAAATATTAAAACCAGACTACATAATAATATCAGTTATCTGCAGCTACATGCCTACATTTTGTTTCTTTAAATATGATTGATTTAAATTTGTCAATACCAGTGGAATTATACAGTATTTATCTTTTGTGACTATCTTTTTAACCTGTAGCACAATAAAATCTCCAGACATTAATATTCAAATAACAGCCAATTCATTATTGTCAGATATGGTATCATACAGTAGATGTACTATGCTAACCAAACAGAAACACTATGTAAGCAAAAAGACTTCAACAATTAATGGCTAATTTATAAATGACCATTGATTATGAACTCATTCTGTATTTGTAATTTTTGCACCTGCAATTATTTGCATGCAAAATAAGTATAGACACAATTGCTTAATTATAGGCACAACCATCCAAATTAGCCCTCAAAAAGAACAGCACAAAAAGATACCATCTGTGAAAATACAGCAACCCCCTCAGACCTATCCTGCTTCAAATCCTGTAAGACTGGTGGACAGATTTCCCTTTTGGCTTCTGTCTCAGACTTTATTCTTTCCTGATCTCATTTATGCCTTACAGGCTAGTTATTTCAAGAAACTGAGAATCAGCAGGCTTTTCCTCCTAGCCAACCAATGCAAACCCGTCCCCATATAATATGCTAATAATATAGGCACACTGAAAACAGACACCATTCCTGAACCACATCATTTGCACTGTTAGCACATGCAGATTCAAATTATTTTTTGCACCTGTAATTTTACCTGGTAGGTAATTTGAGTACTACAAAGATAGAATCACATACAAGTTTCTGCTAAAGATGACAAGAAAATTACATTACTCTATTTTTTTTAAAAGAAGCTTTTAGCTTTTTATTAAAAACAAAGGTGTCAGATTTGATCAAATACATTCATATTCCCCATAATGTTATTATGGGCATCATGAAATTTAATAATTGTCCCTTGGAGTTTGATTTCATACAAAAGCATCACAATACAATCAGGACTACAGCAAATAATTATTGAAGTATGTAGAGACAGTTATGATTTCAGGTGGGAAATATATAATAGATGAGAAATTTAAAACCCAGGTTAATACTTGATAAAGATTTAGATCTCATACAAATGTCAGAAATAATGTACGACAACATAGCCTGCTTTAGGAAATGAAAGAGTTTACAGACAGAATAATTTTAAGAGATTTTAATGATAGTTCAGATATTATTTGCTTATCACTTCATCATATTAAACACTATCAGTCAGATAAATCCTCTGTGGCAGAAACAACACACCTTTAAAAATTTTATTGAATTGTTGCAACTTTCATACAATATAATTTGATAGTATTTGACCCCATCCCCTATCTATGCTTCTCCTTACTGATTCCAAGCCAATTTAATGTACTCTATTACACATATATATTACATTATATAAATAAAACAATAAATCTTTAGGAAATGGAGAATTCAATAGTTATTACTGATGACAAAATTGAGACAGTAAACATGTTTCTTGTGTATGAAATATATATTCACTCATGTTGTACTACTGTGACGATCATAAAGTATTGGCATGAAGGCCTTAGGGACAAATGAAGGTTTGAGAATTCTAATATGTTCCACTAGTTTTGTTTGTGTGTTTGAAAACTTACAGTGAATAGAAAGGAATAGTTTTTAACTACTTTTCATGAGGCATAAATGTGGATATAGTAACTACACAGTGGCCACAAGTTATGGACATGGTGGTGCGTTTTGAAAAGTAGACTAAGATACAGTAATTTGAACTAAGCTAAGAGGAACCATGTTAAGAAAATGTAAATTTTTAAAGAGGAAAAATTGCTTCTCAAAAGAGAATAATTAGGGGCTGAGTGATAGCTCAGCAGTTACAAGCACTGACTGCTCTTGCGGAGGACCCAGGTTAAATTCCCAGCACCCACACGGCAGCTACGAACCGTCCTTAACTCCAGTTGCAGGGAAATTTGAAGCCCTCTTCTGACCTCTGCAGCACTGCATGACATGGGTGCTTTCACATACATGCAGGCAAAATACTCACACACATAAAATAAAAACAATAAATATTTTTAAAAAGAACAATTAGAAAACAAGGACTGGTCAGCTGTTTGTTCTATGACACATAACTGAAGGAAACCAAACATTTTTATGATTAATCGAATGTCAAATATTAATTGCATGACAAACAAGTCATTCATTTTTAAACAGGGTAAAAAGAATATTTTTAAATGTTACAAAGAATAATGCGGGCTGATGAGATGTCTCAGAGGATAAAGACGCTAGTACCTCATTCAATGATCTGGTTTCAGTCCCCAGGCACTACATGGTGTAAGAATAAAAGTCACTCCCTGCGCATTGTCCCTTGACCTCCACACATGTACCATGACACACATAACACACACACACAATAAATAAGTAATGAATAAATAAATAAGTAATAAATTTAAACAAAGTCTGCTACTCACATCCTGAGCTTCCATTTGTTGACACCAGTGTCAAGTTGGAAGGCCATGGATTCCGGACAATATCTTGCCAGTGAATTGTGTCTGCATAGCATAGGAATTTATTCTGGTCAACATAGACTCCGCCATTTAGAATTTCTGTATTGGAAACAAAAATAACCATCGATCATCAATTTGTTTACTGAAGAAAAGGTAGCCAATAAAAAATGAGCTACTCAAATTATTTTAATATTAGAGTTATAATATTAAAATAGAATAGAAGCCATGATACTTAAAAATATATTCTTCATTGAGTCTTTTCCTTCTTTTAAAATTCTGAAAAGGTTGAAAAGTATAAGTGATTAAAATAAATAATTCTAATATTCAGAGAAAAACTTCAGTATTTTGGTATTGATATTATAATTTCTTTTCTGTTTGTTTACCCTGAATTGGAATATTACATGCTGACTTTCATAATTTTGTACTTTTGTTTAAAATTACATAATAATTAATGATTATTTTACATACCTTTAATGAGAATAAAGATATGCCAGATTATAAAATAATTAGCATCATTTAATAAAAATCCTTCTTGTTTTGTGTTAATTTATCTTTGCTTAGTCTTTAAAATAAATTTTCACAAATGACAGTCCACAGCCATAGAGTGTGAAGTCTCAAAGCTTTTGATACACATTGTGAGATGTTGCTTTAGTAGAATGTTTTAGACAATGGGGTATTGCCTGGGGCCCATAGATAAGTGATTAGCATTATGTAAAATGTAGAATTATTTTATTGCAAAATTACTCTCTTCCAATCTGGAATAGATTTGCCAATCATTCAGTAGATTTGCCACTGGATCATAGACCCGAGTATGAGATAAAGTACACCAATACTGGTTTTTACTTGCTTTTTTTGTGCTACTCCTGATTACCTAAAGTGTTTCCCATGTTCAATGTCTGGTCACATACAAAGATCTTCTTTCAAATACCTTTAAGTTATCCTGAAAAATTAATATTCCCACTGAAAATAATATTTTTCAATGTTACTATTTTTTCTAACTTTATCTATTCATATTTTTTGTCTATGAATAATATGCAGCTTATATAAGTGCACTACATGTGTGCAAAACATACAGAGGCCAGAGGAGGGCATTGGAGCTACAGATAGTTGTGAGTCATCATGTTGGTGCTGGGAACCAAACCTTGGTTCTCTGCAAGAGCATCCAGTGCTCTTAACCCCTGAACCATCTCTCAGCCCCTCAAATACTGTTTTTTTTAATAATTTACTTAGACACGTGGCACCTTCCTACCTACTGTCTACCACATTTTCTGCCTGTGGTCCAATACAAGAAAAGTTTTAGAATCATCATATAATAGTGCATAAAGTTTTCAACTACAGCAAGAAAGAAAAACAAACTACAGCTTTTGCAGATAGTGATTCTATTTTCCACATTAACACTCTCCACAAGGCAGATGCAAATGTTAGTTCACCTGTTCTAAAGGGCCTTTTTCTTCCTTGACTTCCTGTGTGGTGATTTTATTCACCCAAGACACAGTTAGCTATGGCATCTATTCTGATGTGAAGACAGAATAAGACAGAAGAGGAAGAGGAAGACTTTCTCTGTTGTCTTTCTTCATATGAATGGATAGACAAAATGTGGCATTTATATATATATATATATATGTATATATATAATTTTATTCAATCAGGAAGAAGAATGAAATTACAGCATTTGGTGGAAAATGGGTATAACTAAGGATGATCATATTAAGTGAAATGTCAGACTCAAGAAGACAATCTTTTCTCTCATTTGTGGCTCCTACTCTTACATAGGTAGATAAAATAATACATGCATATAGCGCATAAAGTAGACATGATAGATGAGGAATAAATGGAGAACAGGAGAGGGAGAAGGTGAAAAGGTAGGATGGGGTTAAGCATGATCAAAGTACATGACATACTTGTATGAAAAGTTTGTATGAAACTCATCATTTGGTACAATGAAAGTATAGCATTAGTATATATTGAAATAAAAATTTAAATAATAGCTGAATTTCGCTGCCCAAAAGTAATCCATGAATACTTCAGAAGAGATGAAGGAAGCAAGTGCTTAGAGACATAATGCTAATGAACAAATCTCAACTACTGAGAATATACAAATAAGGAAGGACAGAGTCATGCTCTGCGGTGGTGCTGAGAATCATCTCTCTTGTGCAGTACTTTCTAAGCCATTTTTAAAATGTTATTTCTCCCTTTGTGATGGTAGGCCCACATTAGAGAAATGTAAGGAATGAATAAAAGGAATATGCATTGAACGTTGGTATTCAGATTGATATTTGCAGATGCAAAATTGGTTGGCACATCCAAAGAACCCGACTGCTTTGTATGTTTAAAATCCTCAATTCCATTTATATACCACAGAAACTTTTCCATTCAAGCTCAGTCACATTCTCATTATCAGTCTTTTCACCGACTATCGGTTCCAGTTCTTGGAGGAGGAAAAAAGAAACAAAAAGAAATTAGACCATCTTTCTACTTCTAAAACTAGTTCATTACTTTTTTTGACCTAACCACGAAACTTTGATCAGTGCAGAAGGAAGATGTAAGAAGGATTGTGAAAATGTATTTCTGTTTTAATGTTTGGCAGTGTGTTTTGACCTGAAATGTGTGAAGATCTCATGCGTATAGCTTTCTCATGAGATACTGGGTGATGCTGTACAGCTCTAGGAATAATTCTTCATCAAGTAAAAAGAAAGAGTACTCTGAATGAGATCCAGGAAATGGAGGTTATTTTTCAGTCTACATTTGGAAAGTTCTATTGTAAAAAAAAGATGTGAAGAGCAAGGAAATAACTCAAACATTATGAAAAGAAACTACTTTTCAGGAGTCACATCTTAAATCAAATTGTTCATGTGGAAGAAACACGGTATCCATCTCCATCTTCCTATCAGAGAATTTTCAAATAGTATCAGATTGCATTTTGCTGAATAATAATCTCGTCAAATCTCCTTCTTCTGCATTATTAATCCACTACTATTGTTGACATTCGTTTCTTAGAAATATGTTTTAGAGCATGACTTGTACTTGGAAAAGGGAATTGGAAAAAAGATGGTAATAATATAAGAACAGGCTTATAATTTAAAATTTCAAATTAAGATACAATCATGACAATCTAGAGGATACTTTTATCATCACAAATTTTAAATTCGTATCTGCTAGTAATTCTAGTGAGGATAATGTACATACTTTTAGGTTTGAATACTGACTGCTTTATTTGCATGTTTTTGTTTCCCCTGGAAATAGCCTTTTTATCTTTTTAATATATGCCTTTTTCTCTGTTGAAAACTCCATAATCAAGGAAATGCAAAAACTCCACAATCAGAGAAAATATGATTTCATGAATTTATAGGAAAGTATTAATGAACATTAATGGCTCCTTAAACATTTTTCAGGAAATAGTGTAATAACTGCATATATATATATATGTATATTCTAAAATTGCCTTTGATTTTATAACTTCAAACAATAAAGCACTATATCTTTTGTGAGAAAATATTTCAATAGGTTTATTTTCCAAATAAGAAAATCTATGGAATAGGTTATCTCCCTTAGAAAGTTTTAATATATAAAAATTACTTTCTTGACAGAAGAACAACCTACTCTTTGCACCATGGTTGACTATAGAAGTTTGAATTTATTAGATAAGTCAAATAAGGATTAGTAAAAAAGAAAAGCTTCAAGAATCATTCATATGATATTTAATCTATGTGTAGTAACTTAACAAGAACGACAGTGCTTTTTATACAGTGTTTTGAAGATTTATTTGAAAGAATCACCTGTTTTATGACCACACTTTCCTTACCCTAATATGAAATAAAATGACTAATAATTAAAATTTAAGACTAGGACAAAAATATAATTTTGAATCAAAAGGAAGAGAGAAAAAATGAAGCGTGAATTTAATTGATAGTCAAAAAAGATGTATAAAGTTGGGATGAATGCAGTAAGTAAAAATGTCTAGTAAGTGAATGAGCTCAAGGTAACCTCATTAAATTTTATAAATTCCTCTGTAATAACATATTCAAATAAATTAAGAAAGACACAGATATATGCTTTATCATTTAGGGGAAAAGCCTGCTACGCATTTTCTTATCATACTGTGTAAAAATATGTCCTGCAAGTTCACAAAACAGAACTGTTTCTTTCTAATAAATGTCAAATAACACAAAATATATTAGATATGACATTTTCTAAAAATAAAAGTATCATTTCATTACTGAAAAATACCATTATAAACTTAAATATGTTTGTGTCTCCAGTATTTCCCATTAGATAAAAAACATGGAAGTCAAGTGAAAGCTGTCATGAAAATTTTGTTCTTGAATAAATTACGACCTGCAATACACTAAAATAGAGAACTTAAATATAAAGGATTTTCATGAAGGTAAACAATATTACTTTGAACTCTCTCTGTTGTATCTAATACCAGGTAGCCTTTCCCCAACGACCACTTAGGCACATTTATACAAACTTGAGCCAAAGAACTTGATTCCAACGTTAATCAGTTAACTTTCGCTATGACTCCTACTTTTAAGTTGCATTGTGGCTAAATCAAAGTAATTATGAAAGTTAATTATTTTCAATAAACATTTTATATGTCTTCTTATTTGATCCTGTGTTTGATTAACTGAGGAGCTACTCCTGCTTGTTAACTGGAGCCCAAGTATCTGCTACTATATACCAGGAAGTACACAGTATAGATTTACTAAGTTTAAAATCTGCCTGTAATATATTTAACTGAATATAAGAAAAACTAAACATACAGAGATATACAATTTTGTAGTTAGAGTTCTTGAAAACTGAAATGAAATAGACTTTATTATAAAAGATGCTTGGAACTGATAATATAGACAATTACTGTAGAGATAATGTTTGGCATTTATACCATGTTTAACATTTTTCTGCTATACAAAAGCCTATTTTATGCATCAAACTCGATTAGTTACTAGGTAAATAATGATGACTTTGAGCATTTTATTTGGACCAAATTTTCTTAAAGTTATACAGATTGCCTAGCATGTGCTATGGAAAAATATCTAAAATTATTCTTTAATACTTAAGTGTAAGTCTATCCCACATTGTTCCTTAAATTAATTTTT